GAAATTTTAATATCCATAATATTGCAATTCAGAAAATGTATTTTACTTACATTATTCAAGATAAAACAATTCCTTGACTCAAAGTCAGCATCAGTAAACAATTGAAAATAAAATCGCGACTATTATCATTATTATTAAATTATTAAAGGTTATTTTATTAAACTCGCAGTATCAAAATGTTAAGCTCTTTCACCGTTTGAAAAAAGTTGACAAATCAGCAGAAAAATATATTTTCAATATTATATACGAATACCTCTATATAAAAATGGAAGAATCTTTGATTCAAGATGAACCAATTAAAAGGAGCATAAAAATAGTTATAGATTCCATTGAAAACATTGTACGTTTTTTTTCGTACAATTTAATTATAGCATAATCATGAGAAAATTTGTTTATAAGATAGACTGTGAAAGAAGAAACTGGCATATCGTTTATCGTGATACATAATGACGTAGTGCTCGGAGAAAGTACTCCTCTCATTATCGATCCGGGTTTCAAGGAACCACCGCAAGTTTACGACGTCAACTTCGAGGTCGAATTTTTATTTATAGTTAACCACAACAATATAGGTTCGATCGTATCCACGCCGATTTTAAGTAAATAATTTGCTCTTTTATGTCACGACATATTTGCATGCATATCAATAAATAATTTATAATTATATTAGTAAGTTAATAATTATTTCGATTGAGGTAAATCATTGTTTTATCAGTAAAAGTAACGAGTGATGTCCAAGATCAACATGTACCTGATTCTGACAGATCAGTTACGGAATCCAAGCCGAAAATAACAGCGAACGTTCCACAGCAAATGTCGACTTCATCAAGCGTAATTGGTTTTTGCACTCTCGATCTAATGCCGATATTACTAGGTAATGATTTATCACGCTGACATGGAGAAAGTCGAGATACTGCACTTAAAATAATTCTAACAACCTTGACCACTAGGTGAAAAATTGCTCGTTGAAAGATTAATAGTGCAAACGCCACATCTTTCGTTTGATGGCAAGGCGATCTCGTGGCAAAATCTTCCTTTATTAAACGCGACAGTAATATATGATGACAAGGAGATATTTTCTTCGCAAGCAGAAATTAATTTCCTAAGTATTACGGTGGAAAGTATCTACAATCCACCAACTTTTTTTACCGAAGATGCGGATTATAAAGCGGGCACGATAATATATGTTGACAATAAGGTATATCTTATTGTTTTTAATAATTTAATTTTTTATTTAGCTAAAGACAATAGAAATTTTAGTTATAACTTTAGGATCAATTAATTTTAATTAATTTGATTAAGAGTAATTAAAAGACAACATTCTCTCTTTCCTTTCCTTATATAATACATCAGATTAAAAATAAACTGATTATAATATTTTGATTATAATATACTGTTCTTTGCATTTTTCATTATAACATATATAAAGATTTGTACATGAAAGAAAAAATAGTTTTATAAAAATAACGAACTAGATGCGCAAGAATGCCAATAAAACGTGGACAGAAAAGATAAGTTACTTAGAATTGACTCGCATATCACGTCTATAAAGATAAATACAAATATCAGAATCCTAAGAAGTGACTAGAATGTCAAAACAAATATTTGTAAAGAGGATTGCATTTTTAAATTAATTATATATAATATAAGTCAATTAAAATTTACAACTGTTAGACATTCAAATTAACAACGTTTTAAATGAATTCTCCGTGTGTTAATTCGATAAAACAAAAATATTTATGCAAAATAAAATTAATCATAATTATATTGTATAAATAAAAACTCTTTATCGCAGCTTTCGGAAAATGTAAAATTCGAAGATGGTAAATGGACAAAATATCGTGATCTGGAGAGAACTAAACGATGGCGAAGCTTATCAAAGTTACAGAGTCGCGCTAGATTGTCGAAGTATAAACTCGATTACGATTACGCACATATAAAAAACATGCTCGACGTAGAACTCGACTTACAAGTAGGAACAATTTGATTTTGCAATTTGATTTCTAATAAATTAACTGTACAATGAAGCGCAGAATAATGCGTAATTTGTAGAGGAAGGTATGCCAGGACGAGCCTAGAATCGAATGGAACTTTATGAATCGCAGTATATTGTGGGATGTAGGAAGCGAAATGATGAAGAAGCATCTTGTCAAGTACATGTTCATTAAAATTTCTTTCGTATAAAAAATCGAAGAATTCATGTTAAATATCATAATTATATTCGAAGGTATAAATATTGGCCATTCCAATTTATGGTAAGCAAAAAGATCACGGAAAAGAGCAACATTAAACAAAACGTAGAAGAATTGAGTGAATATCAACTTTTTCAGTGTTACGTCGATTTATCAGAACTTGTTTTTCCAGGAAGTAAGTGTGAACAAATCATTTTAATATATGATAAATAATCATATTGTTATTGAAAAACTTAATACTTTCCTCCTTTAATTTTTCTGTAGTAAAAAGCACTCATGTAATTGCGCAATTGTACACGCATGATGCATCGAGTATAGCCGAGAAGACTGGTTTAGAAAAAGATATTTTTTATATAGAACCTCGGAGTAAAAATTTAAAAGAACAAGAACTAGAGAAGGTTGACACGATATACATACAATATTTAGAATTTCGCGCAAATTCATTTAATACTTGAAACATTCTGTATATATGTAACACATAAAAAAAATCAGCATTAATTAAGGATTTCTTCAAATTGGATTTCGAATATTTGATTTAGACGGGTATCGAAACAACAGAAAGTAGTCCGTTAATTTCGGAAACTGGCGAGCCTGTGTTTGTCATAATCGAGGTCAAGCTTTTTTATCCACTTGTTCCTTGTAGACTTGAAAGTGACTTTTCAGACATGTATGTTCATAATCATCACTATAAAAAGTATCATAGTATTTAGTTGTTAAAAAATTATACCATAATTTATCCTACATAATTAATTTCATTAGAATCGAGGAGATGATGAAGTCGAAAGAAATTAAGTCGCATTACATTTATTCTCTCGATTTAGCGGAACAGCAATATGCAACTTGTATTCGGAAAATAGTGGAGATTATAACGGAAAGTTACAGAGTATCAACAAATAAAATTTTTACATAAAATATAATTTAATATCATAAAAATATATTAATTATATTAGAAACATATGTTTTGTACTAGGATTTTTGTAATGAAAAAAAAGGAGAAAAGTCATCCGTATTAAAAGCTCAGGAAAATGATTCTTTAGAAAAGGTGGACAAAATGAACTGTTTCCCTCCTGAAGAGGTGAGATTAATTTCAACAATGAGATGTGAGAAATTATTACGTTGCGCGTTCGTGTGCTTGTTACTGCTTGAATAATTTTCAGGATGAGCTAACTTGTTTCACGCAATATCTGTACAAAACTGGCACGTACTTAAAGATACGCAGCACTTTGAAGCTGAAAGTGATCACGTTGCTGGATCAAAAATTCAAGACAAACATGAATACTGTACACTCCATTGACAGCCAGGTCTAAAAATATATTTATTATTTAAAAATTATTATTATTACAATGTTTCGGCATCTTGTCATATTTACATTATTAGCGTCTCAGATTGATTGAGGATTAATGTCCGAATGTTTCGCACAGTCACATCTGAGATAATTAAATTTAAGAATATATATTTTATTCATAATATCTTTGACCGATTATTCTCTATTATATTTATATATTAAATGTAGTAAAAAGAAATCCATTATTTTTGCATGAAATTGAATGGAAAAATAATGGATTTCTTTTTACTACACCTAATATATATTATTATTATATATTACAACATACTCAAATATAGATATAGATTTAAGAATTTATTTAGACACAATTGAAAATAAATAAAAGCTCTAGCAAACTAGAATTTATGTACAGAATTTTATAGCATCCGTATATACGTATGTCGTCGAACAAATGCATCTGGCCATCAACAAAATCGTCGAAAGCCGCCTTGAAGACGATGATTCGCTGAGCACTGTAAAACCTAAAAAATTATTTTTCTATGCTGAAGAGGCTTATGAATTAGGTCATATAGATGATGCAAGACGACATTATCAGACTGTACATAAACTTAATCATTTATATTAACCCTCCGTGAACCAGGTGGGGTGTGACATATCCCAACAAGATGAATTTCTATAATATCTTTTTAAAAAGTATCGCGCGCATTTTGCCGATTTCATGCAACTGCGTTGTTATCAATCATACTAAATTATAGTATCTGTATTTATGATGAAATATAGCATAGGGTATGAGATATACTCACAAATTGATTTTTCCATCTGGTTCGAGGAGGATTAAGAAAATATTAAGTGTATTATTATGCATAATTTTTTTCACAGGCAATCGCGGCAAATAGACATGATGTCGAAGTGTGGACCAAATTTGCGACTTTTCTCTTGAAAATTAGCGATACGGAACGCGCAAGGGAGTGTTGTCGTAAAGCGATTCTTTTGAACAGACGAGATAAATTCGCGTACGTAAAAATACGCAAGTGTACTTTTCTAGTTGAACTCGGAAAGTAAGGAAGATGCAATAGATTCTTAAATTATCTCATGTAATAAATATTTTTCTCCGCAGTTTATTGACATTCGGATTGATCCTCGCGGAAGATCAGGATTATCGAGAAGCAGAAATCTTTCTGAGAGCTGTTACTGATTTTTATCCTCGATTTATTGAAGGATGGATTATCTTACATCTTTTTTACACACGCACAAATTATAGTCCAGGTATAACAAACCCATCATATTCGACACCTGACGCCTCGTAGAAAGTTCTATATCGAGAAAAACATGGAGAAAGATTTATATCAAAAAAATAATAATAATAATAAAGATCGGTCTATTTTACGCGAGGCGTGAAGACTATGTCGGTCTATGTTGGAACGCATAGTTCTAAGTAGGAAGTACCGTTTATATCAAGAAAAGCGAGAGGTTTATATCACATGAAATTGAAGAAAGGTCTATATAGCAATATTTTCCTTTCATAAATTTTGTAGTAGTATAATTGAGGACAGGAATTGTCTTGATTTTCAACCCTGTTTCTCGCACTTATTTATTCATGTATTAATTTTCCTTAATTGAATTTGTGTAATTTCCCTTCTTCAATTTCATATGACATAAACCATACTTAATACTTTTCTCGATATAAACCATACTTCGCATGCGTTCCGACATAGACCGGTCTTCACCTCATGTGAAATAGTTTTTCATAAGCTTATAGCTTATGAAAGTGCAATAGCTTTTCATAATAGTTTTTTTTATAAGTATAGACATTTTTGTGTATTCTTCGTATCTTCTCTGGCTCAAACGTCGATATTTTCGTATTAGAGCAAAGATAAGATTAGAATGTACGAGAAATATATTTTTTTTAAACAGGGATGAATTTTACGTTACGAATAGCGGAAGAAAGTTTGAGAAACGGCGATAAAGAGACGGAGATTTCAAGCGAAGATCCTCTCGCTTGGACAATGATTCACTGTCCAGAAGATAACGTGTATATGATAACAGCCACACTCCTACTAAAACTGCATTTCTGCGATGTAATATGTCTGCATTTAAAATATATCTTACGTAAGAACGTGCGAATGAAAATTATGCTGTCATTTGTTTGTATAGTTTGTTGACTTAGCGTTGGAGAAAGAAATATCTCGAGCAGGCAGATCCACCCATGTTCTATATTATTTAGCCGTGCGATGTTACTTATCACAGCAATACGAAGAAGCTTTATCGTATTTGAAAGAAGCCGAAAGTATTTATGGATTGGTTCGTTTGTATTTGCCATTTGCATCATTATTAAATACTTAAATACATCGACGATACAATTATAGTTTCACAATTACAAACTATAAAATGTAAATTAAATATTTAGATAAAAAATAAATATAGATAACTTTAAATAAATAGATTAATTATCTAATATTATTAAATATTAGATAATTATAAAATTAAGTATATAAAATTAATTCCATAATAATTAATAATTAATTACTAAATAATCAATTAATATAATTTATGTCTCTAATTGATTTAATTATCAATTAATCATTAAATATCGTATCAAATTAATTTGTCTTCTATTTTTGTTCTATTTAAATCTCAATATATTTCTTTTGTTCAGGATTATTCTATAGGTAGTTTAATGGGACATTGTCATTTTCAAGAGGGTAATTTCGCAGATGCTATTCATTGCTACGAGTTCGTCAATTCAATGCTTAACAGACCGGACGATTTGCATCTCGTACAAACCAGGTAAAATCATTTGTCTCGATATGCGCGAAACGATTGGGAGGAAAAAAAATAAAATCGATTTATTTATAATAACATTACGATACTAGAATGGGACTGCATTACGAAAATGCTGGTAATTACGAGCGTGGATTAAAAGTATTCCTTTCTGCATGCAAAACTTCACCCACAGCGGAAACGTGGCTTGGAGCAGGAATCGCCTTTTTTGAGGTGAATTAAATCAAGTTAAAAAGAAAGAAAAATTTCTAACAAAAACTTCTGTGCCAAATTATTCTTTCATACGCAAAATTGCTTTTACATTTGAAAATTATCTCAGTTAAAACGATTCACGGAAGCCGAGATGGCTTTATCGGAGGCGAATCGGATCGATAATCGTAACGTGACTGTTTGGAAATATCTATGTCTATTAAACATGTCTTTACAACGTGACGACGAATTCGCTCAGTGTTATGAACAAATCACCCAGGTGAAAAGCCTATAAAAAAAACAAGAATAACGCGTTCTTGCTTCTTTGTGACGTGTTACCTTCACCTTTACAGGACAATACGGCTTTCTCTTTAGAGAAACGGTCCCTCAAACCGCGGGATGGAAAATCGGGATCGGTCATGCTCTAGAAACTCTAGATGCCAAACGCTGTAGCATATAAAATTCCAGTTTTTGATTCAGAAATTTATTATAGTTAGCTCCACAATTGCGATGAGATTGACGGTGAGTCAGACTGTAATCTAGTGAAATATTTATAGATTTGCACTCTATCCAGACTTTATTACGCAATATTATACGACAGAAATATTCGATTAAATAATCAAAGAATCAATATTTTCTTGCAGTACACTCTTGTTATATTTTGTCTGCTTAATGTAGCGATATTTACGACAATTAGCTGCAATGAATCAAGCAGTGCAATGCGTCATTCAGTTTTAAAAAAAGGTAATACTTACAGACATCATTATCGATAATTATTGCGACTACGGAAACGTTTAAATTTATATTTTGTTCTTGTAATCTTCATATAGTGAAGATTAATCCAAAATAGTTCGAATTATAGAAAAGACAAATGTAAAATAATATTGCGGTATTCTTATCTAAGACCTGATTGCGTCAACGAGATTTAAAACTCTATCTGTCTCGTTTTAGAGCCAAAAAAAGATAGAGAGTTTTCAGCCTCACTTAAAATCAAAGTAACATTGGTGCAATTGGGCCCAAATGCTATTAAAAACTATGCAGTTGCTATTTGTTTGCAGATGACGTTCCGCGGATCAAAATAAAGGTGTTTCGAGGTCCAACGCAGGAAGAGAATGACGAATATTTCGCTACTTGGGGATATTGGATTCAACAACCCAGCAGATAAGTCGATGTGGCAATTTTTCTGATTTTACTTCCTCTTTATCATTTATATGTAACAATGAAATAAATATTTCTTTTCCAATGGGCGTAAAATAATAATAATAATATGTATCGAATAATATGTATCGAAAGATTAAAATCACAAGACTAATTGTTTTTATGATTAAAATAAACCTTCATTTAATAATTATATTACATTAACGATAAATAGTTGTCAAATAACTGTTTTAGTAATTAAAATTAATATATATCTGGATAATCTGGATAAACTGGATAATTTTTTCGTCTTCTTGTCAAAGTGGATAGGAATATTGAAGGGAAACATCTTAGAATGCATAAAGATAATGAAAAATACACAAGACATTTTATAATATTAAGCTCTCGTGTCTTTTATATTATATTCAGACATTATAATACAATTATTATTCAGGCGTATATATTATAAATACAATGCCAACTCTGTAAGATATGAATATTCATGTCTTTTTGGGACATATGGGATTATTCGGATTCAATTGGTCTGAATGATTGTCCAAATCCGCTTTGTCACCCGTCCCTGAGTATCCAGTCTTGTGACCAGGTCCGCTTGGCATATGAGTCGGATTACACTGATTAGTACGATTGGCTGTATCTTTCGGATCCATCTAGAACGTGAATATAATTTTTGTAATAAAATATATAACAATGTGAATATATAAATTCGATTGCGTGTCTTAAATTCGCAGTTCGTTTAAAAGGATCTTAAAGCCTGTATTATCGACTAAATCGTAATTTTTGTATAATTACTTTTTTCCTCTTTTACAGATTCAAAAATCTTTTTCTAGCAAAGTATACACATGACAAAAAATTTCGAAATTGAAATCTTAAGAAAAATTTTTTGTTGTTCTCGACATAAACTCCATCATAGACAAGTATTAACGCATATGCTTATTAATTCTGAAAAAAGATTTTTAAATTTGTAAAAGAGAAAAAAAAATTATTACAATTTAGTCGGTAATACAGACGGCTCTAAAAATTAAAAAATAATAAAGAAAGGAGAAAAAGAAAGGAATATAACATTGAATTGATTAAAAGATAAGAATTTGCAAGAAAATGATTAATACGTTTCATATTTTATTTTAAATAAAAATTTAAGATATTTTCTTACATCTTTTCAGAAATGAACTGTGTATATTCAGCTATCGTGTTATTTTTTTACATATAGATTTTTCAATCGCAAATTAGACACTACACTGTTAATATATTAAAAGTTGTTAAAAGATGACTAAGTTATATATCATGATATTTTAAAAATAAAATATTTTTATCAAATCAAATTAAATATTTTTAATGTGTATAAAAGGAATAACGAAAATTAATTTTTTTAATTATTAGAAAAAGAAGCATAAAAGCCGACTCTAAATTATAATATATTGCGGCTTTTACGCGTCTAATAATAATATTTTCTTTCTATTATAATATAATTTATTTATTTAAAAAGTCATTATAAATTTCAATTAAAAACGCCGCGAGCATTAATACGTTCTCACCTTACACATTTCCTCTTTTTTTTTAATTTCATAAGGATACAATACAGTGATAATGTGTGCTGTTAGGTGACTTAACAATTGTATGAAAATTATGAAAATTAGCATCAAGTTTTATATATATATATATAAAATTGAGAATTTATTTTCTGGATATCGATCATGTAATTTTTTCTCTACAGCGAAAGCTTCAAAAGAGAAAATTTTTGTAATGTATGTATATATATGTATACATACATAAAAATTTTCATTTTCCACATTTCTGCTTTAAAGAAAAAGTTACATGATTGATACTTTGAAAGCTTGCATTTATTCCTCAATTTATATGGTTTGTTAAACAACAAGAAACTTTAATCTTTATTAAAAATATCTAAGAATAGATTGGAAAAGATTCAACATAATTTTATTTCTTTGATGTAATTAGCCATAGAACATTTGGAAAAGCTTCTTGTGATCTAACATTCACATGAAGGAATTCAAATGCAGATTTTGAAAACAATTTTTATAAAAACGTTAAAAAATTCCATGGTTATTACCAAATAAATTGCAACAGTGAAATTATATAATTTGACAGACAATTTTTTAAAAATAATTATATCTAATCATTATAAAAATTCAATTTTTATATTTTCAATCTATTAGTTCTCTATGTTTAATTATATTATTGTAAACACTGAGGACCTGCATAAAGAAGATCAAAGCGTTTGTATTTAACTTATTCATTTTAATATTATAGAATAATTTCACAATAATACATAATGTCGACTTTTATGCTCCTTTCATAATAATTAATTTATTCAAAAAGAGAACCGTTATAAATTTCAATTTAATAATTTTTTAAAAATTATATTATATTGTGAACACATATTGCGTTATATTTCTAGTATTAATATACGTAGTATAATAGCAGCCATATGTCTTTTCTTTATGTTACAGACACTTGAATAAATTTTTATGAAGTTTTTTTTTTTAATAAACTTTCACAATAAACTATTACTTTACGCACTGTCGTAATTTTATATAGAACTGCTGCTATTTCTTTCTTAACTTAAACTGATTCTAATCACAAAATCATTAATTTTTTGTAAACTACACTAAGAGTAAAATTAATTAATAAATTGAAATTAATGAGACAAAATACTCACTTTTGCTTTTAGCTGAAAGTCTTACTAAATGAAAAGATTTGGAAATATTGAAGCCTTCAATACAATCTACGTAAATGATGATCAAGGATCCAAGAGGTACTTGCAGTATGATTACGGTGGTTTTGATAAGTAAAATGAAGTGAAGTTCGTACTGATCGCAGTATTTATACCATTTCAAGCATCATGCAGGTGATCCCTTAGAGATAATTCTAATCAAAAAAGGAGAAATCTTCCAGATGATTCCATTTTCAAAGCAAAAGAAAGGGTTGATTTATTAAGATGCTTTTTTATGCTGACGCTCGACGCTCATTTTCAGCGTCAAAATAGATATGTTCGAAATTAACGCTTGATATTCAATTCATTTCTGCTCAAAAATGAGTATCGAGTATGAAAAAGCATCTTTGTGCATCCTACATAAACATCATTCTAGAAGTATGGTCAATGTAATGCCAGAAATACTTTGAAAGATTCGTTCTTTGATTGATCATTTAAAAAAATTCATTTTTCTAATTGGTCAGTCAAATGCTTCAAAGCATAGCGAGACCACGCTCTAAAAATTTAAGCCGGTAGTATTCATTCGATTCTTATATTTAAGACCGTGTTAAATACAATCTTAAAATGTCATGAACCAATCAAAGTGCCATATTGTCATCTTAAGACAGTCTTACTTAAGACGGTCTTAAAATAAGAATTTAAAATAAGAACTATGAACTACACTGTTCTTACTATTTGTTAGCTAATCAATATCGCAGAAACTCGTTATACGACATGTGTAACGAGCTTTAAATTTGTTTGTCAATAATGCGCTGTGTATACGGTATAATGCAATGCAGCCAACTCCTCTGCTTCATTTGAAAACATGATACGAAAACATGATACGGATACGGTCAACGCTACAAATGCTTTAAAGCAATTTTTGATTGGTAAATTTGTAAAATTCTTATTTCTAATTAGTCAACCAAACGCTTCAAAGCATTTGTAATAAGATTTTGACCGCAGCCTACATGACCTTTACTGTTAGTTTGAAAACAAAATCCGTCTGGGGAAATTTATTTCTTTTCTTAGAGCATGATGTAACAATACAAGGTGTACCATTGCGCATAATGGTGATAGCAATACTGGAAACAACCAATCAAATTTTGGCCTCTATGTACTTTCTTGCATACAATAACATATTGAAATCAAATTTTGCTTCAAATTCACCCTCTTACTATCCTCGGGAATGATACACCTTGTCTTCTTATATCATGGATTAGAATTTACTTCTATGGAGTTCTCTTTTAAGCCTTAAACATAAAGCGAAGGAATAGCGATAGTGATAGGAATAGCAGGACTTCACCCTATCAAAAAGTGTATATCCAGTGTATCTGATTTCTGATAGGTTGAAATGTTTCATGTCATGTTTCTATCGCTATCGCAATTTTTTCGCATTGTGTTTGAAGCTCTAAATATATAAATGCTTGCAGATTATAAAGTGGGCACGATAATATATGTTGACAATGAAATATCTTATTGTTTTCAATAATTATTTAGCCAACGATAATAGAAATTTTAATCATAATTTTTGGATTAATTTATTTTATTTAAAAGACATTTTCTCTGTCCTTTCCTTATACCTATAATGTCAGATTTTAAAAAATTTATCATAATACTTGCTAATATAATATGCTGGTCATTGCATTTCTCGTCATAATATATCCCGGTAAAAAATTTTTCATGCATGAATATGTATAAACATACATAAACTCGTAAATATTCATAAATATGTATACATGAAATATGTTCGTACATCCTTTTTTTTTATAAAATTATTTTTTAGTATAACAGAAATAATAATAGTAATATGAATAATAATAATAGTAATATGAAAACATTAATAATAATTAAAAAGATAATTTTCGCACTTTTTGTTTTAGAAAAAAATCAAGTTTGAAGAAATGTAAAAAAAATTACTAACGTATAATTACGTTATAAGCAATTTCTTTTATATTGTTCCAAATTTTTCTAAAACAATGTGAAAATTATCCCATTAATTATTTTTTATGCTTTTACATTTCTATTATTATTTCTATTACACTAAAAAGTAATTTACAAAAGAAAGAAGGACATATGAATATATATGGACATATTTCATATATAATTATACATGTTTGTGAATACTTATGCGTGTTTATGTATGTTTATACATATTTATACATATTCATAAACGAAAAATTTTTTACCGGGATATAAAGATTTCAAAAATGAAAGAAAGACTAGTTTTATAAACTATTCTATATCATATAAAAATTACGAATTGGATGCAAAGCAAAACTAATAAAACAGTTGACAAAAAAGATAAGTTCTTGAAATTAAATAAGTTCTCTCTAAGAATTGACTCACATATCACATCTATAAAGATAATCTGCGAGTATTAGAGTTCTAAGAATGTGATTAAAATGTCGAAATATGTATAATCTATACGACTATACTTCTGTATAAATTGATAATATGTAAGCCAAAATTTATAATTGTTTGACATTCGAATTAATAGCATTTTAGATAAATTGTCTGTGTTAATTTGATAAAGCAAAAATATTTATGTAAAATAAATTTAATCACATATAACAATTTAAAATAAAGAAATATATATAAAAGGACTCCTTATAATTATAAAATAATATAGATTTAAGGGGGCTAATTTGGAGTCAGCGCGGTAAGAAGTGCGCAATTTATACTTATATAACCATTAATAGTATTAAAAGATATAAGTTTAAAAGTTTTGGCTATCGATTTTAGACATTTTCAGCAAATACATAATTAATATACTAGCAGAGAATATCTTCTTATCTTTGAAAATATAAGATGTTGTCGATCTTCTATCTAATCGAAAAATGAGAAAATCACAAACATCGCACAAAGAAATGCCTGTCTTGTTGGTTAACAAATGATTGCGTTCTCAATCTTCATATAACATTGCAATTAAATATAATACAATGTTGAGTAAATGAAAAAGATTTGTATAAAACATGTGATGAAATTTAGAAATTGTCAAAATGTATCGTCGAATATTTTTAACTGTTTAACATTTAAGAATGTAATTATAGTTGCGCAATTATACATGCATGATACATCGAGTATAATCGAGAAAACTGGTTTGAAAAGAAATATTTTCTATACAGAACGGAGTAAAAATTTAAAAAAACAAGAATCAAAAAAGATATATACATACAATATTTAGAATTTCACGCAAATTCATTTAGTATTTGAAACATTCTGTATATGTAATAACACATACAAAATTGGCACTAATTAACAGGATTTCTTCAATTGGATTTCGAATATTCGATTCAGACGGGCATCGAAATAACGCAAAGTATTCCGTTAATTTCGAAAACTGGCGAGCCTGTGTTTGTCATTCAGGTTTGTCATTCGAGCTTTTTATCCATTTGTCTCTTGTAAAATTTAAAATGACTTTTCAGACATGTAAGTTCATAATCATCACAATGAAAAGTATCATAGTATTTAATTGTTAAAAAATTATACAAAAATTTATCTCAAATAATTAATTTTATTAGAATTAAGGAAATAATGCCGAAAGTAACTAAGTCGCATTATGTTTATTTTATCGATTTAACGGAGCAACATTATTGTATTGAGTAATTTTATATTCGGAAAACAGTGGAGATTATTACGGAAAATAGTATCAACAAATAAAATTTTTACGTAAAATATAATTTAATATCATAAATTGAAATATATTAATTATATCAGAAATATGTTTCATATTAAGATTTTCGTGATGAAAAAAAAACGAGAAAAGTTATTCGCATTAAAATACCAGGAAGGTGATTCTGAAAAAGTGGATAAAACGAAGTACTTCCGCTCTTGAAGAGGTGAGATTAATTCTAACAGAGATGCGAGAAATTATATTGCGTTGCGCGTTCGTGTTACAATAATTTTTAGGATGATGAGCTAACGATGAGCTTGCTTGTTTTACACAATATCTGTACAAAAGTGGCACGTACTTAAATGTACGCAGCATTTCGAAGCTAAAAGTGATCACGTTGATGGACCAAAAGTTCAAGACAAATGTAAATACTGTATACTTCATTAACAGCCAAATCTAAAAATATATTTATTACTCAAAAATTATTATTATATATTATTTTAAATGTACGCCGCTTTCAAACGACGAAGAGTGAAGATCCTCTCGCTTGGTCAATGATTCACTGCCCACGGGACAATGTTTTTATGATAGCAGCCACACTTCTACTAAAATTGCATTTCTGCGACGTAATATGTCTGCATTTAAAATCATCTTATGTAAGAACGTGCGAATTATGTCACGATATGCGTTTATGTAATATGCTTATCGTTGGAGAAAAAAATGTTTCAAGCAAGCAAATCTACTCATTGTTCTATATTATTTAGCCTTGCAGTGTTACTTATCGCAGCAATACAAAGAAGCTTTATCGCACTTGAAAGAAGTCAATTGTGTTTATGGTTAGTTCGGACTGGTTCGTTATTAAATACTTAAATCGACCACAATTAAAATTAATTAAATTTCTCAATTGCGAACTGCAAATGAAAATTAAATACTTAGATAAATATAAATAACTTTAAATAAATTAATTAATTATCTAATTATATAAAAATAATTCTATAATGATTAATAATTGATTATTAATTAATCAATTAATATAATTATATCTCTAACTAGTTCAATCATATAAATATCGGATAAACTTAATACGCCTATATCATATTCAAATATGTTTCTTTTCAGACTGAGAGATATTTCTTTAGAAAAACGTCAAAGAAAAAAAATGTCAGAGAAATGTCAGAGAAATGTTATGTCTTTCTCTAGAGTCAGACTGTAATCTAAGTGAAATATTTACAGATTTGCGCTCTATCTAACTTAGTTGCATAATATTACACGACAGAAATATTCGATTAAATAAATAATCAAAGAATCAATATTTTCTTGCAGTGCACTCTGTTATACTTTGTCTGCTGATGTAGCGATATTTACTTATTAGCTGCAATGAGTCAAGCAGTGCAATGCGTCATTCAGTTTTAAAAAAAGGTAATAATACTGCATCATCGATAATTATTTGCGATTACGGAAACGTTCAAATTATATATTTAGTTCTCCTAACCTTCATGCCAAAGTAGTTCGAATTATAGAAAAGAAAAATGTGAGATAATATTATTATTCTTATCTAAGATCTGGTTAAAGCTCTATTTGTCTCATTTTAAAGTTAAAAAGAAACAGAGACAGAAAGAATTTTCAGTCTCGCTTAAAATCAAAGTAACGTTGGTGCAAGCAAGCATAAATGCTATTAAAAATTATGCAGTTGCTATTTGTTTGCAGATGACGTTTCGCAGATCAAAATAAAGGTGTTTCGAGGTCCAACGTAGGAAGAGAATGACGAATATTTCGCTACTTGAGGATATTGGATTCAACAATCCAGAGATAATATCGATTGAAAACTTTTCTGATTTTACTTCCTCTTTATCATTTATATGTAACAATGAAATAAATATTTCTTCTTCAATGGGCGTAAAATAATAATAATATATATCGAAAGATTAAAACATAAGACTAATTGTTTTTATGATTAAAATAAACTTCATTTATTAACTATATTATATTAACGATAGATAGTTGTGAAATAACTGTTTGTAATTAAAATTAATATATTTCTGATAAACTGGATAATTTTTTCGTCTTCTGTCAAAGTGAATAGGAATATTGAAGGGGAACATGTTAGAAATGCAAAAAGATAATCAAAAATACACAAGATATTTTATAATATTAAGCTGTCTTTTATATTATATTCAGACGTCATAATACAATTATTCAGGCGTATACATTATAAATACAACGCCAACTCTGTAAGACATGAATACATATTACTTTTTATATAAGGGATTGTTCGGATTCAATTGCTTTGCGTGATTGTCCAAATCCGCTTTATCACCCGTCCCTGAGTACCCAGTCTTGTGACCAGGTCCGCTTGGCATATGAGTCGGATTACACTGATTAGTACGATTGGCTGTATCTTTCGGATCCATCTAGAACGTGAATATAATTTTTGTAATAAAATATATAACAATGTGAATATATAAATTCGATTGCGTGTCTTAAATTCGCAGTTCGTTTAAAAGGATCTTAAAGCCTGTATTATCGACTAAATCGTAATTTTTGTATAATTACTTTTTTCCTCTTTTACAGATTCAAAAATCTTTTTCTAGCAAAGTATACACATGACAAAAAATTTCGAAATTGAAATCTTAAGAAAAATTTTTTGTTGTTCTCGACATAAACTCCATCATAGACAAGTATTAACGCATATGCTTATTAATTCTGAAAAAAGATTTTTAAATTTGTAAAAGAGAAAAAAAAATTATTACAATTTAGTCGGTAATACAGACGGCTCTAAAAATTAAAAAATAATAAAGAAAGGAGAAAAAGAAAGGAATATAACATTGAATTGATTAAAAGATAAGAATTTGCAAGAAAATGATTAATACGTTTCATATTTTATTTTAAATAAAAATTTAAGATATTTTCTTACATCTTTTCAGAAATGAACTGTGTATATTCAGCTATCGTGTTATTTTTTTACATATAGATTTTTCAATCGCAAATTAGACACTACACTGTTAATATATTAAAAGTTGTTAAAAGATGACTAAGTTATATATCATGATATTTTAAAAATAAAATATTTTTATCAAATCAAATTAAATATTTTTAATGTGTATAAAAGGAATAACGAAAATTAATTTTTTTAATTATTAGAAAAAGAAGCATAAAAGCCGACTCTAAATTATAATATATTGCGGCTTTTACGCGTCTAATAATAATATTTTCTTTCTATTATAATATAATTTATTTATTTAAAAAGTCATTATAAATTTCAATTAAAAACGCCGCGAGCATTAATACGTTCTCACCTTACACATTTCCTCTTTTTTTTTAATTTCATAAGGATACAATACAGTGATAATGTGTGCTGTTAGGTGACTTAACAATTGTATGAAAATTATGAAAATTAGCATCAAGTTTTATATATATATATATAAAATTGAGAATTTATTTTCTGGATATCGATCATGTAATTTTTTCTCTATAGCGAAAGCTTCAAAAGAGAAAATTTTTGTAATGTATGTATATATATGTATACATACATAAAAATTTTCATTTTCCACATTTCTGCTTTAAAGAAAAAGTTACATGATTGATACTTTGAAAGCTTGCATTTATTCCTCAATTTATATGGTTTGTTAAACAACAAGAAACTTTAATCTTTATTAAAAATATCTAAGAATAGATTGGAAAAGATTCAACATAATTTTATTTCTTTAATGTAATTAGCCATAGAACATTTGGAAAAGCTTCTTGTGATCTAACATTCACATGAAGGAATTCAAATGCAGATTTTGAAAACAATTTTTATAAAAACGTTAAAAAATTCCATGGTTATTACCAAATAAATTGCAACAGTGAAATTATATAATTTGACAGACAATTTTTTAAAAATAATTATATCTAATCATTATAAAAATTCAATTTTTATATTTTCAATCTATTAGTTCTCTATGTTTAATTATATTATTGTAAACACTGAGGATGACCTGCATAAAGAAGATCAAAGCGTTTGTATTTAACTTATTCATTTTAATATTATAGAATAATTTCACAATAATACATAGTGTCGACTTTTATGCTCCTTTCATAATAATTAATTTATTCAAAAAGAGAGCCGTTATAAATTTAATAATTTTTTAAAAATTATATTATATTGTGAACACATATTGCGTTATATTTCCAGTATTAATATACGTTGTATAATAGCAGCCATATGTCTTTTCTTTACGTTACAGACACTTGAATAAATTTTTATGAAGTTTTTTTTTTTAATAAACTTTCAATAAACTATTACTTTACGCACTGTCGTAATTTTATATAGAACTGCTGCTGCTATTTCTTTCTTAACTTAAACTGATTCTAATCACAAAATCATTAATTTTTTGTAAACTATACTAGGAGTAAAATTAATTAATAAATTGAAAGTAATGAGACAAAATACTCACTTTTGCTTTTAGCTGAAAGTCTTACTAAATGAAAAGACTTGTAAATACTGAAGCCTTCAATACAATCTACGTAAATGATGATCTAGGATCCAAGAAACTTGCAGTATGATTACGGCGGTTTTGATGAGTAAAATGAAGTGAAGTTCGTACTGATCGCAATATTTATACCATCGCAAGCATCATGTAGGGAATCCCCTAAAGATAATTCTGAAGATTCTCAAAAGAGGGGAAATCCTCCGGATGGTTCCATTTTCAAACGGCAGAGTTGATCCTATTTTCAAAGCAAAGAGTTGGTTATGCATCCTGCATTATAAACATCATTCTAGAGGTACGATCAATGTAATGCTAGAAATGTTTTGAAACGTTCTTTGATTGGTTAGTTCATAAAATTCTTCTGATTGGTCAGTCAAATGCTTCTAAGCATTTGTAGCGAAACCGCGCTATAAAAATTTAAGCCGGTAGTATTCATAGTTGGTTCTTATATTTAAGACCGTCTTAAATAAAATCTTAAAATGTGAATCAATCAAAGAGCCATATTAACATCTTAAGACATTACTTAAGACAGTCTTAAAATAAGAACAGACTATGAACACTGCCCTTAGTATTCATTAGCCAATCAATATTGCGGACAAACTTGTTACACATATAACAGACTTTAGACTTGTTTGTCAGTCATGCGCTGTGTACATGGTTTGATAATGCAATGCAGTCAACTCCTTCCTCTGCTTCGTTTGAAGACATGATCAACTCTATTGCTGAAAACAGAACCTGTCAGGAAAATTTATTTTTTTTTCTTGATTAGAATTTACCTCTATGAAGTTCTTCATTAGATAAATGCAGATTATCAGTGTATATACCAATATATGTATACCAATTAATAATAATAGCTACAAAAAAATTTCTCTTCAGATATTCTCTATAATCTATCTAATTCTATCTAATTGAACTTGCATTTATGTAGTAAATTTGTCATCATATTATGCGTCATATTCTTTTATCTAGTTAAATCTTATTAGTTGTTAATCTTTGAACAAGTTGTTGTGATAATATTTAACTTTTTTTTAGTTAGATGCTATTCTTATTAAATATGATGCGAATTACATATTGT